GCATCGGACTTTTATCAGTGTTAAATTTTTATTGCCTGGTGGAGAAAAGGCGAAAGTATGGTTGGGAAGTTGTTAGTAGTGCTACTTGTAGCATGTACTTTAGCTGGTAAGTTTTTTTAACTGTAAAATGTAATGCATATCTTAAACAAATATATTATAACAATACAGTTTGTTAGCTGTTTTAATCATGATAATTACGAAGCACTTCTTTTTTCATTTTAAGAAGTTTTATATTTTTCATATTCCTTTCTGAACATAGATTTAAGATCCGAGTTTATTTAAACGATTAGTGGAAATGCTTGCAAAGCTGTGGAACGCAGTGAATTTATAACTGATAAGAAAGTTCATTGCGTTATCAAACATAATACGGTCCCGCTGACGGAAAAATAAAACTTCGGTAAACTTCGTAAAACTTTTTATTAATTTTCTTCCATTAATGTCAATTGATATAGATCTAATACTAAATTATTGTTACACATCATATACATGTATATTTTGTATATTAAAAAACTACAGTAAACAAACAAATAAGCATCTACTGACCCTTTTACATGTATTCATATACATGTATATATTATACACATATATATGAACCACTCTAAACCAATATCTTATTCGTTTGAACAAAGTTATACTTTTTTATATTATGGGTTTTTAGTACCAAACTTTCAGTTTCTTAAATGATCAAATATACCATTTTCTGTGGCGTCCCTGGCTGAGTGGTTAAGGTCGCTGACATTAAATTACTTGCCCCTCACCGCTTTGCGTTCGCGTCCCACCGGGTGCCTTTAATTCTTTCAAGTGAGGGGGAAGCTATCCCGTTAGCTTACGGAATGTCAGTGGTTCTGCTCAGGTGCCTTAAATAGTGCATGAATGGGTAACTGAGGTTTTCCTCTACCAGTAAATCTGGAACCTGTGCTGTGTTGGTACGACGTATAAAGAAAATCATTTGAGCCGCGCCATGACAAAGCCAACATAGTGCGTTTGCAACCAGCATGAATTCACACCAGCCTGTGCATCCGCGCAGTCTGATTAGGATCCATGCTGTTCGCTATCAGTTTCTCTACTTGTATTATATTCTGTAAGCGAACAGCATGGATCCTGATCAGACTGCGCGGATGCGCAGGCTGGTCTTGATCCATGCTGGTCGCAAACGCACTATGTTGGTTTTGTCATGACGCGGCTCATTTTATGTTATATGAGAAAGAAAATACATTTTAGAGCATCATTTTTTGGAGGTAAAACAGTAAGATGGTTCATAAGCTGAAAAATTGTGTTCGTTAAGTGCGAAGGTAACTTCATAGTAATTTCAAAGTAGCAATATACCAGTACCTGCAAATAAATACGTCAATACATCATTAAAAATTCATATGCAAAATAATGGATGTGCATATGTATTAGTAATGAATATGGCCGCATATCAGTTAACTGGTCAATACATAACTGTGTTTTAGAGAAATAAGCACGATAATAGCAAACTATTCATCGCTGTTCCGAAATTTGTGTTTTAAACTATTTTAAAGCAACATGCCTCAAGATTCATTTTGATTTTCACGGGTTTCTTTAAGTACAATATTATCAAGAGAACGTAAAAAGTCATTTACACATTTGCCATCGGCACTAAATATCTACGAAAATTACCCCAAAATAGCACAGAATATACAAAAATAGATTTACTACGTTAGTAACGCAGTAAGAATATGGTGATAAATAATACAAAATTAGTCATCAATTGTATGTTTTTTTCCCCATTAATTGTCAATACTTTTACTTTACTTAAAATCTTAAAATTTTCTCTAGGTTGATTTTCTTGCCATGTTTGGCTCATCTATAACTCTAAAATAGCGAATACTTTTAACTCTGAGCTTGGCACGTGTGATGCAATTTCTTTTCATACGGTTTATTAAAGTATTCGACACCCTTTCCTTTACTTCATATTCCTTTAGGTTCTTATATGAAATGTAGGGTTGATATTATAAGCGTATATCAAATATACAAAACCATAGATCACTTTAAATGGATAAAAACAAGACATGTGTGGATTGCAACATCAAACACGTGCACTTCAGTCCATGAGCAATAAATTAAGTATTCGACATTATTATTTTTTTAATTGCCTTATATTCAATTTATAAAGAATTTTTGCCTTGTTAAACGTAAAAGTACTAACAATTTACATAACCTAATGTTAATAAGGCTTGTTTATAAAAGATATCAACAATAAACATTTTATAAAATATAAGATGTAAGACTTATAATAAATAACACTAAAGATCTTCTGCAGTGCAATAGGATCGAACTCGCAACCAGAAGGGTTTTAGAATAGACGATTTACCACTCAATCTCAAGCAAAGGGGGTACTTATTTTCTGGCATCTTTAAAAAATCCACATTTATGCGTAGAATGAAAATTAGACCATTTTCATGAAGGACTATGGAAAGCCATATATGTCTTATTATGTTCTTTTCAACTAGTCTATACGATGGTAATATATAAGGTAACTTCATCAATATAGATATTGAAAGCAATATAATAGTGAACCGGATACCTTATAGCAATCCGCAGTTTTAATACCAATATATGTAACCCAATGTCAACAACATATAAAGTGAATTTTTAAATATTACCAGTTATCAAACAAACTTTCAAATAAAACCAAGGACAATCCTATATTTGTCGAAAATAAAAGAGCTCTAACCCTTGACCTCCTGGGACCGGAAGTGAATAGCCATGGCCACCAGTAATAAACCAGGCTTGCCTGCACACCCGCACAGTCTGACAATGCTGTTTAGTGTTGTCCGACTCACTTTTAATATTCATCAAGATATCCCTAAAATAGATAATGGACAGTTCCAAAAATAGAAATTGAACAAGTTCATTGAAGAAATTCAGTAAATTAAGTATAAACCCAGATACTCGTGCAGTGACACATTAAAGGCACATAATGCCTCAGAAATTCATATTTTGTGTACTATATAAATGTCGACCATGTGTTTAATATTGTTTACAGAAGTCAGATGTTTAAAAAAAACTGAAGAAAGTAAAACTGAACGTGCAGTAATGTGTTGTAAAGGTAGCAAAATGTAACAAAGTACATGTAGTATTTTGACTTCCATATAAAGTACTAAATCACCATAATTACCATAATTATGCCATTGCCAAAAGAGTTAAAGAAATGAAAAAATATCTTCATCGATTTAGCAAACAAGTTTATTTTTTAAACTGTAACAAGATATCAAAAATAAAAATAAATATTTTTGAGGAATAAAAATGATAGCGTTTCTGAGTCATAATGGGCCTTTAAAGTTCAACTTGAACCCTGGTCAAATCTCCAAACTTCCGCCATCATTAGAGTATATAGAGTGGATATCGAATTACGATCGATAAGAAATTTTGCAATACGTATATTTTAACGATGTCCTTGTTTTTAGCATGAATAGGTCTAATCCATACAATATCGTGAGTCGATTTAAATATAAACATATCTTCAAATCTTTTGTAGATATTTGCGCAAAATTCTATACAATTAACGACTCGTCGGTTTGAAAGCATTATAAACATTGGAAATTTAAATCAGAATTTGGCGTATTTACTATACATATTTGATGCCATGACGTAGTAACTGTTGTTAATAAACAATTACTTGTATTGTACACGTACAATAAATTATCAAAGCGCTATAAGCACTGATGAAAATTTCAGAATTTGATAAATGTATAAATTAATTTGAATCAAAGTGATGAAAAATGTATCTTAAAATACAAAAAAAAATGTATCTTAATAATAGTCATCATACATGTACATGTTCAATAAAGCTAATTTAAGTGCTTAAAGGAACAATTTGCCTTAGAAATGAATTCAGTTCCATTCCTTTAGAACATAACATATGTTTAATGATATTGTAATAATGAATTAAGGTCATGTGATGTACTTTTCGTCAGACGAAAGTAGCGTTGAATGTGAAATTATTTGTGATAAATGTACCCAGTGGTTGTTTGTCTTCCTTGCAAAATACTAATTCTCTATAACTGTACTAATTGCCATAATGCAAAAGAAGCAAAAAAAATGGCTCAACTATATGGCTAATAGGTATTATTTTGGAAACTGTATTAAGACAAAAAATAAACAAAAAGCATTTTTGAGACTTAATGGGCCTTTATATAGTACTGCAAAATTTGATAAATGTATAAATTTGTTTCAAAGTGTTGAAAATGTATCTAAATACTAAGATGCGCCAAGATCATTTAAAAAATTGAAAGATGACTTTAATGAAGTTTTAAAGCTATTCCAATTAGCCACCCCAAAGAAGTACTTTGGACCACGGTGTAACTGGAAGAACATGACGTTTGCCACGGATGGACGATATCTGATTATTCTTAAAACAAGAATGTATATCTTCATAAGGTTTGAATTAAATTGAATGTTACAGTGTTATAGTAAACTTAGTTACTGCGAATCTTATTAATCGAAATATGTTATTTGTCTTTTTCAGGATGTGATGGGTAAGTCTATACACTTGGTTCATTTTGTTTTGTCTAAACAAAGTAGTAATGGAATTGACGAAAAGAGCTAGAAAGAACGAAAAGTGCAACCTCTGCAGAGCGTTCCTCTGTAACGAGACAACCTCTTTATCAGAACAGTATCAATTATTCCTATAGATTAATATTCTTAATGAATTTAATCACTCTAGAGAAACACTTCTCACCAACAACCAAAATCTTGGTATCCCAGGAAGCATTGCTTTACAGAGGTTGTACAGTGTGCCACCATTCCTTGCTAAGGTTGCTTATATCGCTGCAATATAGTTATATAATAGTACGTCTTGTCTCGAGGTTATAAAACTTCTTTCTCAGCATTTTCATTGGTCAGTGTTAGTCTGTGACAGTTTCTGACCAATCAAATTCCTGAGATTTGGGAATTTCTTTATAACCTTGAGGCCTGGTTTTTCTTTATCTATTTATCTTGATATTGATGTTTACGAATACCTAGGTTTTTAATAATTGTATGAACGAGAAATGGCGGGAAGCATACGTAATTATATTTTGTCGTCTGCTGACAGGAGTGACACAAACAACCATAATTCCGATACACTCACATCGAACTATGAATCAATTGGCGGGGTACTACTCTTTTTATCTTTGGTTGCTCTATTAGCATTGTGTTTGGACACACCCGTCCAGCCCCAAGGTATACGTGTGGTGGCTGATGAAAACTGGCGTCAAATGCTAGAATTTCAGGCTCGGAGGCTTATACTCCCTAACCTCAGCAATTTTGTTACTTGTCAAGTAAGAAAAATAAAAGAAAAACAAAAACTTGTCTAAAACACTTGTTAAATTGAAAATATCGCTAAGCAATATAAAGTTCATGATTTTTTTCTCACTTTTTGACTAAAATTTTATTTAATCACTTTATCTTGATTACGATTTAGTTATTGTACCGTAAACTTCCAGCATTTGAGGCCAGCTTTTATTTTAATCTTTGTCTTATGTTTGAGGAAACTCATGCTTCTTTCGTTCTGTCTAACATAATTTTTATAGAGCATTATATACACTGCATATAGATTAACAGAATAATAAAGTGGCTGCAAATTTTATGAGACGCTCGATGATTACTAAAAAAACATACATATACATAAATAGTACCGGTTTGCATTGTGTAATTATATACATGTATGAAATATAATTTGAAAGCCTATTTCACCATGCTTGGGGAATAATAACATTACGTTGTTTGCATCAACGGAAAACACATGTTTGAAATGTACCCGATTTAATCAGAAAGTATTGGAAAAATGTCTGTGGTGAAAATCTTAGGCGTTAAAAATGTGACATTTGAAACTATAAACTTTTGTAACTAAAATGTATTATTCCCCAACAAAACTAAAAATTTGCAGCCTCTTTCTAGTCATTTGTATACTATACTGTTGTCACAAAATAGTGTCGTCTGTATTTTAGCGCCGCAATAGAAGATGGCGCCACCGAAAGCTCATCTACCAATTACCAGACGATAGGAAGTGTTCTCCTGGTTTTAAGTTTGATTGCACTTTTGGCGCTTTGTTCAGATGGCGGTGTAGCTCCTGGTATATCTTAATTTTCTGTCGTCTGCTTGTTTTGAAAAAAAATAAATGTATTAAATGTGTGAATAATAGTGCACCAACTGTGCTCTGTGTAGCAACGCTATATGTCGCAACGCCGCTATATGTCGCAACTAACGCTAAATGTCGCAACGCTGACGCTATATGTCGCAATCAACGCTATATGTCGCAATCGCCTACCGCTAAATGTCGCAACGTTGCCGCTATATGTCGCATAAAAATCGATTGCCGCTAAATGTCGCAACCCCTTGACGCTAAATGTCGCACTTGGTAGGAAAGTAACAGATGGAACTGAAACAAAAAGTAAGTGTTAAAACATTTAAAGTTTATACCATTTACACATGAAAACATATCCTAGTAACCAAACAAAAGTTGTATTTCGCGGTCTATGGCCAAAACCTTATATGGCCATAGAAACTGTTTTTGATAAAAGGGATGGATTTGGTTCTCAACCACGGACCAGGTGTGAGATCAAACTTTCTCTTTGAGGATGTCTTTCTCACAAAATGCATCAACAAAAACATTTGGATATACATGTATATTTGTTAATATATTATTTGACATAACTGAGCAAACCGCTTGTTAATGCTAAGGGGGAACTATATCTTAAAATAGTTTTTATTATACCTGTTCATAATCTGACTAGATAGGCTTTACTACATGTAAGTATTAAATAATACCCAATTGATCTGTTGATCGATATTCGTAACTATGCGGTGTATTGATTTAGGTTTATGACAGAATTGTTATACTTTCATAACTTTTTATATTTATCTCAATATTTCTTTGGGAACATTAATGAATCAATATACTATGGAATTGCCAAATGTTGACTGCTTACTGTCAACTGCTTACTATCAACGACCTATTACAACTGTATTGGTCAAAAAATTATTCAGTTGCCGAAATAGTTGCCGTTCTGGAGGTCATGCACAATATAGTGCAGTGGTATATAGGCCACTTCCAACAGCCTTGCTGTTGGGTAAACCCTTTAGCGATGTGGTTGAGGTGTCCGCCTACGGACCAAGAGGTCTGTTGTTCAAAACCCGGTTGGACCCTTGATATTTTTCTGCCTCCTAATTTACTTAGATGGTGTCAGAAGTGTTTGACGGACTCATGCGGTAAGCAGGGAGTGACATTCAGGATAGCTGGCTAGCTCTGAAAAGTAAAGAGGGGAGGAGTGTAGTGGTTGTAGGTATATAGGCCACTTCCATCAGCCTTGTTGTTAGATTAACCCTTTAACGACGTGGTTGAGGTGTCCGTCTACGGACCAAGAGGTCTGTGGTTCAAAACCCGGTTGGACCCTTGGTATTTTTCTGCCTCCTAATTTACTTTAATAGTTTACAGGTACATATATATTCTTAGAACAACATTTAAAGGAATTCACTGATAAATTTAATAAATGCATGGACTATAACATGAAATTCCATAAACGACAGCCAACTGTTGACTGCTTACTGCTTACTGTCAACTGCTTACTGTCAACTGCTTCCTGTCAATTGCATACTGTCAACTGCTTACTCCCCCACTAGAAAACAACAACAACAATTAGATAAATAAATAAATAAATAAATAAATACAAAAATGAATAAAAATAAATAAATAGAGGTATTCTTTTATCTGTTTACATATAGAGGTTATAGGCTGACCCATGAAAAAAATAGAGAAACTAAAAATCAAGCCAAAAAGAAATTGTTTTATCATATACTTATAAGTGAAATATTGAGAAATACTGATGAAATAAAATGCGTATTTTCAATTTTAGTATTTTCACTGTAAAAAGCTATTTTTCACTCTAGTGAAATATATTTTCCGTATTTTCACTGCTGTCTTGCCGGACAGCTTTCTTCTAAATTCAGACATAATTTAAGGAGAATACACATAATTTAAGGAGAATTCTGTCAAATTGTAATGTCAAAAAAAGAGAAGAGAAATCTATATGATAAACAGACAATTCAAGTTTTTTTCTATAAATACGGGATTTATTATCATCTTGTGGTATGGAAATTATCATATTTCATTCATGGCTACCGCCACTCATAAACTAATTATTGTCTTGCCACCAGATGAAAATAAATCCTGTATTTATAGAAAACACTTGAATATCCTCCATGAATTATGTCATAATATGTTCAAAAGCAACCAGACATAAAATCGTATGTATTAGATATCTAGATGTATATTAATAATGATAATTCAATAAGCATGAACCGAATGTTCATTTTTTCTTGTGTGCGACAAATTAAGAATAATTCAAATATCGATTGAATTATACATCCAATTTGTCGTTAGATAAATCATCAAAGGGTGATAATAAGACAACAACTTAATACATGTAAATGTGAACATAATATTACCATTCACAAACGCATTCTTTTTCTGATGAAAACGTGACTTAAACAAACCCTGTTTCGATGAAAGCGATGCTACGCAAACTTAGAGCTGAAAACGAGGCGACAGTAAGAAAACGTCACGAACGTATCTATGAAACAGTGAAAATGAGGCTAAAGAAAAAAACGTCCCAAACGCAACCGTGTGACGACGAAAACGAGGCAACAATAAGAAAACGTCACAAACGTAACCATGTCAGTTTTAAAACGAGGCTACAATATCAAAACGTCAAAAACGTGAGCATGTTTCAATTACAATAAAAACGAGGCTACAATAAGAAAACGTCACAAACGTATATATGTAACATTGAAAATGAAACTACGGGAAGAAGATGTTACAAACGTAACTATGTTACGATAATAACAAGAAAACAACAAGAAAACTTCACAAACGGCATGTTACAATGCAAACGAGACTACAATGACAAAACGTAACAAATGTACTGGAATCTATTAGACTTTAACAAAACGCGTAACAAACATCTATGCAACGATGAAAACGAAACTTATAAGAAAAATATAATCTATTCCATTCGCTTTAGTATAGTTGGCTCAGAAAGTAGTCCCAAAACCGCACTGACATACTCGTATGTTAACATTTTGGAAATGAATAATTTTGCGATTTATGTCGCCAGAATAAGGCAACTGCTTTCAAACTGACAGAGGTCCAGACAGGAATGATTCTACCACATATTAAAATTATATTAAAATCACTTTCAAGTTTTTTGTTTGCATCTGCGTGATGACATCATCTGCATACTTGGACATGACAAAAGTTCCAATAAAAATGATGATAAAATTTATCATATCTTTACAACGTGCTTCTATTTGTGCATTTTATCTATGGTCTTATATTTAAAGTCAAAGTGTTAAAAAATTGTTACGTTTTGACAAGATTCTTGTCATTCAGCATATTGCAGATGTGATATATGTGAGGAACGAACAACTCTGCTTCGAAAATAATTTAGAAACATCAAAAATGAAACCATGGTGAAGTTAAAATGAGACTACGATACATTAAGTTAACAAATGTATCAGTGTTACGAGGAAAAAGAGGATAAAACATATAAGGGAGAATATGAGATAATAATTTAATGTCATAAACGTGTTCGTGTTCATGTAAATCAGGAAATAGAGTAACCATTCACAAACGTGTCCTTGTTTCGATCAAAACGAGAATATACATGTAATTAGAAAATGTCACAAACGTAACCATATTGCAATACAAACGAGGCCACTTAAAGGAAACGTGACAAACTTAACTATGAAAACGAGGCTACAGAAAAGAAACGTCACAAACGAATCCATGTAATAGTGAAAACGTGCCTTACAGGGAGAAAACGTCATAAACGTTACCATGTTACGATGAGAACGAGGCTACAGAAGGTAAACGTCACAAACGTAACCATAACAAGGCTACAGTAAAGAAACGTCACAAACGTAACCATGTAACAATGAAAACGAGGCTACAGTAAAGAAACGTCACAAACGTAACCATGTAACAAAATGAAAACGAGGCTACAGTAAAAAAACGTCACAAACGTAACCATGTAACAATGAAAACGAGGCAACAATAAAGAAACGTCACAAACGTAACCATGTAACAATGAAAACGAGGCTACAGTAAAGAAATGTCATAAAACGTAACCATGTAACAATGGAAACGAGGCTACAGTAACAAACGTCACAAACGTAACCATGTAACAATGAAAAAGAGGCTACAGTAAGGAAACGTCACAAACGTATCCGCGTTACAGTGAAAACGAGGCAACAGTAAGGAAACGTCACAAACGTATCCGCGTTACAGGAAAAACGAGGCTACAGTAAGGAAACGTCACAAACGTATCCGCGTTACAGTGAAAACGAAGCAACAGTAAGGAAACGTCACAAACGTATCCGCGTTACAGTTAAAACGAGGCTACAGTAAGGAAACGTCACAAACGTATCCGCGTTACAGTGAAAACAAGGCAACAGTAAGGAAACGTCACAAACATATCCGCGTTACAGTGTAAACAAGGCAACAGTAAGGAAACGTCACAAACATATCCGCGTTACAGTGTAAACAAGGCAACAGTAAGGAAACGTTACAAACGTATTCACGTTACAGTTTAAACGCAGGAAAAGAGACTATAGTAACCCTATTATAATTAATGAAAACGAGGCTACAATAAGGAAATGTGACACTGAAAATCAGGCTGCAATAAGGAAAACTTTACAAAAGTATTTCATGTAATGGTAAAACAAGGCAAATGTATCATTATAAAAATGAAAATGATACTTCATTATGAAAACGCCACAAACGAAACCATGTTGAAGTAAAAATGAAGCTACAATATCAAACCATTACAAAAGTATCCATGTAACGGAGAAAAAACGAGGCTTAAACAAAGCGCAGTATAATATGAGAAATTGGACACAGTACTTCGGATATCAAAATATTGTTGTATCCCCTGTCGTATAACGGAGAGAGAACACACTGATGTTTCACATTTTATTACTCAATACATAAGTATATATCTGCTCTGGACAAATACCAAATTCGAATTACCTAGACTGGGCTATTCGACCACTATTTATAATGACAGCTATTAACATAAAATGTTAAGATATAGTTCCCCCTTAGCAATAACAAGCGGTTTGCTCAGTTATGTCAAATAATATAACAAATATACATGTATATCCAAATGTTTTTGTTGATGCATTTTGTGAGAAAGACATCCTCAACGAGAAAGTTTGATCTCACACCTGGTCCGTGGTTGAGAACCAAATCCATCCCTTTAATCAAAAACTGTTTCTATGGCCATACAAGGTTTTTGCCATAGACGCGCGAAATACAACTTTTGTTCGGTTACTAGGATATGTTTTCATGTGTAAATGGTATAAACTTTAAATGTTTTAACACTTACTTTTTGTTTCAGTTCCATCTGTTACTTTCCTACCAAGTGCGACATTTAGCGTCAAGAGGTTGCGACATTTAGCGGCAATCAATTTTTGTGCGACATATAGCGGCAACGTTGCGACATTTAGCGGTAGGCGATTGCGACATAAAGCGTTGATTGCGACATATAGCGTCAGCGTTGCGACATTTAGCGTTAGTTGCGACATATAGCGGCGTTGCGACATATAGCGTTGCTACACTCTGCGCATGTTTACTTCATAAAAGAATACAGTGAAACTTGTGTTTCAAATCCACTCGAATAAAGAAACACTTTCAGAAATATTGTAGAAAAAGTGAAACCATTTTGTTTTCCTATTTGAACAATTACATGTAAAGTAATAAATGGCGTGCTGCGATAGACTTATCAACATTTGCAACAGACCATAAACAAAACTTCTTTTTTGTTTAAATTTTCAATGTATGTACGTCTTTATATACACAAGTTTTACTGTATATTTCTATAGCATTGTTCAAGCTTTGAATGTATCCAAAACGGACACTCCGATATTCACAATGCACTTTACAGCTCGCATTTTGGGGCTAGAAAAAAGCTTTTGGGACAGTAAATAAGCAATACTTTGGGGGATATTCTAGATAATTACCTGACTAAAAAACGAAAAAAACAAAACAAAACATATGCGTTATCTGCCAGTATGATTGTTCGTCCGTTAAGGATAATAATGAAGGGTTGTGAATATCTATAGCGCTTTTGTATTTTGTTGCTTTCGTATTGCAGTGTTGAAGAAACATCTTTTAACACTTACATTGCTTGTATATGCGGACACATTTCCCATAGCATAAGAAAATTTTTTAGAGCTTTTTTTACGACAATCACTTTTTAATTCGTTTGATATAAATATAGTTATCTATTTTATTCATATCTAGCTCTGTCATAAAAAAAAACACATGTCGATCCAATTTCATTATTCTAATTACAACGCAGCTTGACAGTAACTTCATTTGTGTGATAATATTTCAACGAAATTTAGTTTGTACTTTTTGTCTGATTAGCCATATATTTTTACTGCGCCATGTGCCGTATTATTTTTACAATATTTAATGTGTTTTATGTTATGTAATCTCATATTTTTCATAACTTATCAATTGTTTATTCTTTTTTATTTAGGGAATCCAATCCCAAACTGGGTTATGTCTATAGTCCCGGATCCGGCCTTAGATGTCGGATTTACCGGAACCTCGGACGGAATTAACGCAATAAACCACAATTGTGTCCACAGACACAGGCGAGGCGCATTTGAAACTGACGGAGCTAAATGGGGTGCACGTAAGTGTCACGTGGTATATCATGCGATATTTATTGACATTTTCGTCTATTTATTAAATGCAGTTTATTTTACAGTTGTCTTATCATCAAATATTATTTCAACCAGACCCTTTTCTAAATATATAGTTAGTAAAATCTTATTGCAAGGATGAGGCTATTGCTCAAATTATGAATTGTCGAGTGTTCACGATGATTTTTTTCATTGGCATCTGAAACTAAACTCAACAAACTCTATCTAGGTCAATACGATGTATGTACGTAGCAAAACTACAGCACTAAAGGGGATCTCTTGGTCTCAATCGGTAAAAAAATGAAGCGGAAAAAAGCAGAGGAAAGTTGCAAAAGCTGTAGTCGTATTTTAAGTTTCATTTCACTGCAACTCTTGATATATCATTTCAAAGCCCTTATCTCCTTTTCAGCACTAGCAAAGGGTAAACACGTATTCGAAATATATTGGCCGAGTCGCCTCCGAGGAACAAGTGCTACCGTCGGCGTCGGTAGCGATGATGCTCCATTGTTTGTCAAACCAAAAGACTCCCTGGTCGGCTGCAATAGTTTCTCGTGGGGTTTAGACATTGCCAGGAAACGCCTATTGCACAAGGGTGAAATGCTTGGCACCATGCCAAGAGGCGGAGTTGTTCCAGATAAGTATGTTTGCTTAGTATAATAATAATAATAATAATAATAGAATTAATAATAATAATAATAATAATAATAATAATAATATATAGTAGTAGTAGTAGTAATAATAAATACTTAGTTGACAAGAAGGTATCGTTTAAATGTAAAAGTTTAAATAAATGCTAAAATACATCTATTTTCATATGCCTTTCGAAAGAAAAATAGTAATTACATCTTTT